ATTTTTCCGGGTTTAGCTTCATGTTGTACTTCTTTAATATACTGAGAGTTTCCTGCAAGTTCTTTAAATGGTCCTCTGCTTGCAGGGACTTAACTAGCATGTCATCAATGTAAACGTTTATTTGTTCTTCGAACATCCGATTTACTAGCCGTTGATAAGTAGCACCAGCATTTTTAATCCAAATGGAATTACATTGTAGCAGTATGTACCATACTTGGTGATGAACGAGGTCTTTTCTTGATCATCTGGGTTCATTTGTATTTGATTGTACCCGGAATAGGCATCGAAAAAACTGAGGATATCGTGGCCGGTCATGGCATCGATCATGCGATTGATATTGGGCAAAGGAAAAGAATCCTTGGGGCATGCTTTATTTATATCCTTGTAATCCACATACATTCTAAGTTTGTTTCCTTTTTTAGGGACCACTACTACTACGTTTGCTATCGATTCGGAGTATTTTACTTCACGAATGGACCCTATTTTAAGAAGCTTGGTTACCTCGTCTTTGACGAAAGCATGTTTGACCTCGGAGTGGGGTCTTCTTTTTTGCTTCACCGGATGGAACTTCGGGTCCAAGCTTAGTTTGTGGGTGTTGATATCCTGTGGGATCCCCGTCATGTCAAGATGGGACCAAGCGAAACAATCCATGTTAGCTATAATAAATTGAATAAGCTTTTTCCCGAGCTCGGGATTTAACCCCGTGCCCAGGTATACATTTCATTCGGGCAGATGTTCGATTAGTATGATTTGCTCAAGTTCTTCGACCGTTGATTTGGTAGCGTCGGAATCATCGGGGACTATGAAGGATCGAGGGACCCCATAATCAACATCTTCGTTAGACTCTTGCTTCTCTAGTTGGGTCGAGGCCAATGTTTGTGATTGCTATTTGGTCTCCCATTTTCCCTTCGAATTTGAACCTTTTGTATATGAGAGTGATGACATCGAAATCATTTCATCAACAACAAACATTTCCTTTGCTGTGGGTTGCTCCCCGTAGATTATTTTGATTCCTTATGATGTTGGAAATTTTAGAACATGGTGAAGGGTCGAGGGTACTGCTCTTATGTTGTGGATCCGTGGTCTCCCGAACAAGGCGTTATACCTTATGCCGCCCTCTATCACGTGGAACTTCGTTTCTTGGATGGTACCGGCCACATTTACTAGCAAAGTTATCTCGCCCTTTGTAGTTTCACATGCTATGTTGAATCTGTTTAGTACTAGGGTCGCGGGCACAACCTGGTCTTGTAGACCAAGTTACTCTAGGACCCTCGATCGATCGATGTTGGCCAAATTACCTGGATCAATTAGCACATGTTTAACTTTAGTATTATTCATGAGTACAGTTATTACCAGTGCATCGTTATGGGAAAGCATGATTCCTTGTGTGTCCTCGTTGTTTAAGGATAATGTTCATTTCGATATCTAATCCTGAGCCCGAGATCGCTTCTCCCTTGTGATTGACACCTTAGTGCATTTTAACACAGGCCCTTGGGGAGCATCGATCCCCGCAATAATCATATGAATAATGTGTTGCGGTTCTGCTTGCTCGTTTGGTCTATTTAACTATCTATTTTTGAAGTGATACTTGGTCCGATCACTTAAAAACTCCCAAGGGTGCCCTTCATTAAATAACCAAGCTACTTCTTCTCTCAATTACCTACAATCTTCTGTTCTGTGGTTATGGGTGCCATGATACTTGCATACTTGATTGGGATTTCTCTAGCATGGATCGGTCTGTAGATGTCGAGGCCATTTAGTATCTTTGATGCATCCGATAGCCGATACGATGGAGGATGCATCAACATTGAAGTTATACTCTGACAATCGTAGTGCTTCCTTAGGCCCGATATGCCTGTCGAAACCATTCTTTCTCATCAGCCCTCGAGAGCCTTGGCCTCGATCACTTCTCTTTTCACCTCGTACGGGGTTGTGCCCAGGTCCGTTGCCTCTACGATCTCTATTATACGGCTGGTATCGATCCCTATTCAATCTCAGTTCTCGATCGATGTCCCTTTTGGTAACAGATCCAGAAGGAGCCCCCAGCTGGTCGTCTTCGACTCTAATCTTTGATTGATATCGATTATGTATATCGGCCTAGGAAACAACCAGGTACTCAATTAAGTTCTGCTTCAACTGTTGTGAAGCCACCAAGCTTCATTCATTTAGTCCTTGGATGAAAGCTTGAACGGCTCAATCGTCTATGACCGGTGGTTGATCCATTCGTTCCATTTGGAAACGAGATACTAACTCTCTTAGCATCTCGTTCTATTTTTGCTTTACCTTAAAAAGATCCGACTTCCTAGTCTCAACCTTTATGGGTCCGGCGTGTGCTTTTACAAAAGAATCTACAAGTATGGCAAAAGAATCAATAGAGTTAGGTAGTAAATTATGATACCATATCATTGCCCCCTTTGACAGGGTTTCCCCAAATTTCTTTAGTAATACAGATCCGATCTCGTCATCCTTTAAATCATTCCCTTTTAATAGCAGACGTGTAAGAGGTGACATACTCGTTGGGGTCGGTTGTTCCATTATGCTTAGGAATCTCGGGCATGCGGAACTTCTTGGGGATCGGTTTGGGAGATGAGCCCGGGGGGAGGGCTTTTGTACAAACCTTTTGGAATCCAAACCCTTCAATATCGGTGGTGCCCCCGGGATCTATCAACCCTGGAGTTATAAGTTTCCACTTTGTTGCCGTTTGCTTTGATCCTCTTTTCCCCTAACTCTATCCGCTTTGTGAGTTCCTCGAGCATCTTTATAATTTCGGTGTTAGTCCCCGATTCTTGTTCATTTGACCTTACCACAGCTGGCCCCGTTATGCTGGTGACTTCTTGGGGTGGACTGGGATCAACCATGCTCGGTGCATGGGTTTGGCCCTGCAACTTAGCTATCACCACCTGTTGAGCTTGCAGCATTTCGAAGATCATACGCAGGTTGATCCCATCATCTCCAATATTTTGGGCTTTCGAACTGCAGATCGGGTTCCACCACGGATGATGTTATCGGGACCGGAATGTTGGTTCGCTTTGATGGCCACATGCGAATTAACGCCAATCGGATCCACGACCCGAGTTCCAATGGGGTCAGCGGGTGGCCTTTCATCCCCGGCCGTCATGTTGTTATTCTCAGTTTGATGGCCATATTCGTTGTCAATATGTAGGGGCATTAATTGAGAGTTCGTCATTTTTAGCTTGAAATCAAAGATACTTCCAAGAGCAAATGTAAAATAGTGTGTTTTACAGAGATTTGTATCAGATAGCCACTATTATCCTTATCCCCACGGTGGGCGCCAAACTGTTTACCTGAAAAACGGATAACAATTAAATTTATACACGATTCTAAGGATACGTAGTATAATTTGGAACAAATTGAGAAATTTTATAAATGAATAGCAAAATTAACTGTAAAAGAAATGAATGCAAACCGAATGAATTAATTAGTCTAGACTCTCAAGTTTGATCACCCTCAAACTGAATGGAGAGTAACTGATACAAGAACAAAGTGAATAAAAATCAAAATCAGAAGAAAGGCAGTATATTGTTTTATATTCTATGGATCTGAATCTCAATCAATCCCCGCTTACAAATAATCAGACCCCCTTTTATATAGTAGGGAAGTCCTATTCTTAATATAATTTCTAAATACAGTAAGGAATCCCATGATAGATTAATTAATTCGCCTATACTTGATATGTACCAATATTTCTACCGAGATTCTTGCCCAATTGCGGATATTCCGGTTTTCTATTTTTTGGCTCGATAAGCTCTCCTCAATTTTGGCCGATCTCGATCTTGATCGGTCTCCAACTTTCTCGATCTCGATCGTGACCAGTCTCGATCTTGCTCGATCTCGATCTTGGCCGATCTCGATCTTGATCGGTCTCTGGATCACGAGCTCGGCGACCTAACTTCGCATTATGGCTCGATTCTACACGAGACCGAACCTTGGTCTATTATGTTCCAATATCTATTTGTCATACGAAGGGAAAACTCGGTTTTGACCGTATACAAACACACTGGATATGAGTGTGGCTTTGCCTCCAAAGGATAATAACTTACCTTTCTGGGAATGTAACTTTGACTTTACCTTCTTAATGAGATCATTATAATAATCTTTTCTCCTCCTTGTGTAAAAGATTGGACACCCTAGGTAAGTGAAAGGGAACTTACCTCTCTAAAAGCCAGTTATCAGATTAACAATATTAAACAATTCTCCTGCCACCTTAGCATGGATGTAATATGAACTTTTTGATTTGTTTATCAACTGGCCAGATGTTTGTTCATATTGTGTGAGGACTTCAACCACTTTACCCAAAGAATATGTATCAGCAGAGGCAAAAATAATTATATCAACAGCATATGCCAAGTGGTTTAAGGGATCAGTCTATTTTGACATACCATACCCTATAAACCTCTTGTATTCAAATATCTTGCTCAATGATCTTGACAATACCTCATCAGATAGAATAAACAAGGTTTGATACAATGGATCCCCTGTTTAACCCCTCTTGTGGACTTAAATAATCCAGAAGCTTGACCATTCATTAGAACTGAATACCAATTGTTAGCCAACAAATTCCAAATCATGTTGATAAAGTGTTCAGCAAATCCCATTTTTCTCAGTACATGAAGAAGGTACTTCCACGAAACCCTATCATAAGACTTGGCCATGTCAAGTTTTATCACAACATTAGCAGGCTTCCCTCTCAATTGTATGCCAGTGATAATTTCCTATGTGAGCAAAATATTTTCAAATATACTCCTTCCCTTCACAAATCCAGATTGGTTAGAAGATATCAAAGTAGGAAGGATGTTTTCCAGCCTATCATGTAACACCCTAAAGATCACTTTATTGATGAAGTTACTTAGACTTATAGGCCTTAAATCTGAAAAAGTTTGTTTTTGAGGTTTCTTAGGCAGCATCACAAGGTTAGTGTGAGTGATTGATTTTGACAATGATATACCTCCATAAAACTCCAGCAGCAGCTTGAAGATGTCCTACCCTACAATGTCCCAACATTGTTGATAAAACAATCCAGTAAAACCATCAGGGCCACTGGCACTATCTCCACTTAATGCAAAATCTGCACCCTTGACTTCTTCGATTGTAGGAAATTTACAAAGCTCCAAGTTTTGATCCATAGTCACCATATTGTTCACATTATTAAGTAATTCAAAGCTTGTAGGATCCCCTTCATGTGTGAAATATTTTTTGAAAATATCTACTACAGCATCAGCCATAAGAACTTGAGACTCCAACCAACCACCATCTCCATTATGGATTCTTTTGAGCTGCAATTTCTGCCTCTTGCCATTCACATGGTTGTGAAAAAAACTTGTGTTCCTATCACCTTCAGCAAACCAGTTCATACTTTCTTTTTGCTTCCAATACTGCTCCCCAATGCTAATATACTTCGTCAATTCATCTTGTGCCTTTTGGAGGACAATCCTATTCTCAATGGTTGGATCGTCTTCAAATAACATCTCCTTCACTCTGACAATATCCTCTCTAATATCTATCTGTTAGAAAATGTCTCCTTATGCGAGCTTACTCCATTGAGATAGGGCAGTTTTCACCCTCTTCAGTTTCTATTTAAACATTAAAAATTATCATCAATGAAGTCTGCCACCCAATTCTGTCTTACCACCTCTTTGAAAGTCTCATGCTTGATCTAGAAGCTAAGGAACTTAAAAGGTTTAACAAACTGCATTTCCTCTTCCCCACAACTCATCAACAATGGGGCATGATCAGAGCATGTCCTAATAAGATGCTCAACTTCAATACTTGGGAAAAGATTCTGAAATGGGAGATTTACAAAGATCCTGTCCAGCCTTTTGAAGATGCATTCAGAATTTGGTTTACCATTCCACCAAGTGAAGGGGATGCCTTTATATCCAAGATCAAACAGTCTACAAGAGTTCACACAAAAGACAAAATCTTCATACTCAGGTAGATATACTGGTAGACCACCTAACTTTTCAGCTTCACTCATTACAAAATTAAAGTCTCCTCCAACTATCCAAGGAAGTTCCATATCACTTGCCAAGTAATACAGGCTATCCTATAATTCAAGTCTTTCTAAGGATAAATATTTAGTATACACAAAAGTCATCATAATGTGTTTGCCAATGTCTTGGTGATACACTCTAGTGGTAACCTATTGTTTAGTGTCTATTAACACCTCCCATTCAATCACAACATCAAACAACAACCAAATTTTACCATTAATATTTGACATAACAGCATCCATACCTAACCTTATTCTGTATCTCTGAATATGTCTACAATTCTGAAATGGTTCCATCAATGCAACAATGAAAAACCCATGTTCTCTTTGCATATTGATCACCCTCTGAAAGGCCTGCTGTGTATTGACAGACATTATGTTCCAAATTAGAGTCTTGATCATCATTTAGTTTGTGAGGCTACCCTTCTAGGCAATATTTTTTAGGTTGAGAGATCTCTTTGTTTTGACCTTGTTTCCTTCCCTTTTTGCCACTCTTATCTCTAGCCCTAGAAGATAAATCAGCTTCCCTTGCTACTGCCTTAAAGTTTCCTGTTGTTGATTCATCATCACATTCTTCTTCAAATTGCTCATGATCATTTATTGTCTATTGAATATCCTTAGGTGTGACATTGTATGTTACAATGTCATGTAACACGTGTATTGGAGACTTCAAAGGAATGTTGAGATGGATTTGCAATGGTTGCCCAGTTCTAGAAGCACAAGCCATGGGACTTAGCTGAATTGCACATGCTTGATGCGGTACCATAGTCTGCTGAGGTTCATCTACATTTGTCTTCTTCATCACAATTTCATTTTAATCTCCAACTCCCATAGATTGCTGCGACATTTTGAATTGCAAATCAAAGATGGATTCCAGACTATGGTTCACTGTAGCTATATGCGCAGAAGTTATTGTTCCATTGGAATCAAGAGGTTTTCCACCAATTGTTTGAATAACTGACATCACTGTATCTTGTAACACCTCTGCATCAACATTACCAATATGTTCCCTAGATAAAATACCCACAGAAACACCTTCAACATTAGATAAAACCTCCCCAGTTTCACTAGGGTTTACTGTTCCATTTCCCTGCATCTTAATAATAGTTGTTGCACTTGTTCCTACAGTCTTTCCTGCTTCTTTTGATGCACCCTGATAAACTCCAGTTGGTACTATAGCTTGTTGTTCATATGAAGCATTATTATCCTCAACCCTAGTTTTTGAACTAGGGTTTACTGTAGCATCACCCTTAGCTAGATCAGCAAGCTTCACCTGCAAATTCACCCTTTGAGGGGTGACATTATCTGCATTACTAGTTCTCATATGCTCCTCTATTAACTCAAATTCGTCACTCCACAAAGCAGACCCATCATTTGTGGCTCCAGTCGAAATAACTTCCCTAAGATCACTTCCCATCGTTTGAGAGGGAATTTCTTGGAAAGAGTAATTGGTTGTCACATTAATAGCATCTGTAGGAGCACCAAATCTCCTTTGCACCCAACCAACAGTTCTTTCCTTTTTGTATCTCCACCCAGTCCCTATAGCACTAGGATTAGGGTTGATTTCCTTAGCCTCACCATTAGTAATCCCGGTTTCTTTAGGACTTGGACCAAATTTCTTTGAGTTTTCCAACTGCTGCTTCTCATTCTCCTTGTTGGACTCATTTATCTTTTGTTACCTCTCTTTCTCCTTTGAATTCCTATCATCCTTGCCACTTGTAATTTGTAACACTAGTGGATCAATTTCCTCAACCTCAAGTGCATCAAATTTGTTATTTGTTGTAACTACGTCAACCTTGTGCTTCCCCTCACCATTGTCAGCTTCTTGCTCCTTTGCTTCCGTAATTATGTAAACCCAATTATCCATTTGGTACCCGTTCTTTCTCCTTTGCATCCATTCTTGCTTGGCAAGATTTGTGATTGTCTTTCCTAGAACTTTACCACTTGTTAGAACTTTGGTGGTAGCAGCTGTAGTACCAACTACCTCCTTAGCCTTCCCTTGATCTTCACCAGCATCATCAAACTTCCTATGTAATTCGGGGTGAATGACCCAACATTATACTTCATTATGCCTTGTTTCTTGCATGTCTTACTGTATTTTGGTAGATAGTCATATTTAATTTTAATCCACTAGTATTCCTCCGGCCCAAATTCATCTTCATCTTCCACTATCTTGATTCTTTGAGGGAATTTAGCAAGCAAATTCACCTCCACTTTAACTTTTGCACAGCTTGGTCTAGTTCCATTTTGTGACGCTAAATCAACATGAAGTGGATTATCAACAGCTCTAGCTAATGAAAAAATGAACTACTTACCAAAAATGTTAGGTGGTAGCTCAAGAAAACTAATCCACGTGATTGCTATTGGGGTCTCTTCATCTGATTCACAAGGCGACAATGACAGGATCTAAGGGACCCAACGTGAATGGATAAGTATAAAAACTTAAGAACCCCTCTATATGGGTAATAATAGATTCTTCAGGCGATGGGACTACCACGTGCTTTTCACCCCAGTTGCATTCATTTTTCTATTTTGTCGAGGATTTTCTCGGTGATTGTACACTGGTACCTCAAGATCAGCTCACATCGGCCTGGTACCAAATAGAATTTTTCGACCTTAAAATCAATGATGGTTGAGCAACCTACCAGAACGAATTCCTCAGGGTGAGGCTCTATCGCATCCTCACCACCGGTGGGTCGTAATGAAGAAGCGCCCTCTTTTTGCAGCACTATTTTGGAGGTTTTTGCCATTGATGAACAAGGGAAAAGAGAATTAGGGTTGTATGCGGTGTGAAAATTATGAAGCAATGGGATTTTATTAAGAAAATGCAAGAGTAGAGAAGAAGCTTTGAGTGAAAAATTTGAATGAATATGAAAGTTTGAATACTTATAGCTTGGTAATGAAGGTTCAGAACTGGTAGTGGCTGACCTACGACTGACATGCATTTAACACCTTGGTAACTAGACCGATGGAATGTTTGTCACGTACATCATAATCATTCTCGCCGCTGACGTCGTCACCCACCGAGTCGGAGTTTAGAAGTTCATATCATTTCTCGTCATCTTCTTTTTGAGAAACGAGGGGACTATCTGTATACGGTCAAAACTGAGTTTGCCCTTTGTATGACTAATCGAGATTGGAATATGATAGACCAAGGTTCGGCCTCGTGTAGAATCGAGCCATAATGCAAAGTTCGGTCACCGAGCTGGTGATCTAGAGACTGATCGAGATCGGCCAACATCGAGATCGAGCAAGATCGATACCGGTCATAATCTAAATTGGCCAAGATAGAAATCAAGCAAGTTCGAGACCGATCAAGATCGAGATTGGCCAAAATTGAGGAGAGCTTATCGAGCCAAAAAATAAAAAATCAAAATATCAGCAATTGGACGAGAATCTCGGCGGAAATCCTGGTGCATATCAAGGAGGGGTCAATTAATTAATCTATCATGGGATTCCTTACTGTATTTAGAAATTATATTAAGAATAGGACTTTCCTACTATATAAAGGGGGTTTGATTATTTGTAAGTGGGGATTGATTGAGATTCAGATCCATAGAATATAAAGCAATATAATGCCTTTCTTCTAATTTTGATTTTTAATCACTTTGTTCTTATATCAATTACTCTCCATTCAGTTTGTGGGTGATCAAACTTGAGGGCCTAGATTAATTAATTTATTCGATTTGCATTCATTTCTTTTATAATTAATTTTGATATTCATTTATATAATTTCTCAATTTGTACCAAGTTATACTACGTATCCTTAGAACCGCGTATAAATTCAATTGTTGACCGCTTTTTGGGTAAACAGTGTTGCAAAGCTTACCTACTCACATTCTTTCAGTCTTGGACCCTCTTGATAACATTCTTGAACACCTTCATAAGATCTTTGCTATATTCTTCTGGAGTACAAAAGAAGAGGGTAGAAGTAGACACTGGACAAAGTGGCAAAATCTATGTCTTCCTAAGGGGGGGGGGTCTAGGGTTTAGATCCTTATTTGATGTGTTTAAGGCACTGTTTGCCAAGCTGTGGTAGAGATTTAGGACATCAAAATCCTTGTAGTCTAACTTCATATGGAATAAGTATTGCAAGAAGGAGCTACCTACTATGGTACAATTTAGGGAGCTATCTCATATGTGGAGGAAAATAATAGAGGCAAGAGAGGAGGTAGAACATGAAATATTGTAGGAAATGAATAGGGGTTAGACTAATGTTTGTCATGAAAATTGGACTGGCCTTGGTGCATTGTATCATGTAGTACCTCAACAACAACAATAACAACCCAGTATAATCCCACTAGTGGGGTCTGCGGAGGGTAGTTTGTACGCAGACCTTACCCCTACCCTAGGGTAGAGAGGATGTTTCCGATAGACCCTTGGCTCCCTCCTTCCAAGAACTCCTTACCTTGATCTTGGGGTGACTCGAACTCACAACCTCTTTTTTGGAAGTAAAGCGTGCTCATCACTAGAGCAACTCACTTTTGTCCATATAGTACCTCTAGAGTTCAATATTAATGAAGATTTACATAACATGGAAGAATTGAGAGATGAGGATGGGTGGAATGATCAGATTTTAGAGCAGAAATTTCCAGAAGATATTGTTGAGCATATAAGTCAATAGGTGCACTTTGATAATTCTGATGAATATTGGGACACACCTAAATGGATGCCAACACCGTCATGCAAGTTTACAGTAAGCAGTGCTTGGAAAATATTAAGGCATAGGGCTCCACCAAATCCAGAATACAAGCTGCTATGGACAAAGGGCTTACCATTCAAGATATATTTCTTCTTATGGAGACTATGGAAAGGGTAGGTGCCTACTAATGATTTATGGAGGAGAGGTGGCTATATAACTGTCTCTAAGTTTTAGTGCTTCCTACCATCACAAGAGGAAACATTTCAGCATATCTTCCTTATAAGTGATACTGCTAGTAGAGTGTGGAAGATGTTCTTACAAGCTGCAGGACTGGTGGTGAATTTGGTGCAAATTCAACAGGTTATTAGAGCATGGTGGAGTGCTTATTGTTGTGCTAAACTCAGGCTATTATTCCAAGGAACTCCAGCCATTATTACTTGGGAACTTTGGAAAAGAAGGAATACAATGAAACATGGAGGAGGTGCAGTATCTTTTCATAGGGTAGTACATGAGGTGAATAAAACACTGCAATATATTTCTAGAGTTAGATATCCTTGGCTTCCTAACATACCTCTACTTTGTCCAGACATGGTCAGATTCTTTGAAGGATATAAACCTTACATTGTTACTAAAAGAGTTACATGGTAGATAAATTATGAAGGATGGTTTAAATGCAATACTGATGGTGCTTCTAAGGATAACCCTGGACCAAGTTCATATGGATTTTGTGTGA